CATGCAACAAATAAACAAATTTTAAACATGACGATTTAAACGATTGATTTTAAAAGGGCTTTAAGATGTACTTGAATTTAAGATTTCTCACGAAATCCGTTTTAAAGTCAAAATTAAATGGCCTGATTGAATTGGCTAGTTTTAGAAAGGCTTTTAAAGAGTATTTGAAATAGGAGTTCAAATGCTGCTCTGTTTGAAAGATATTTTTAGAACGTTTTATCTTAACTGAAATTAAGAAAAGCTTTAAGAAATTTAGTGATTCACTTATTTGAAATTATTGTTACAAATTATGAAAGTATTCTTTCTTATATTAAAAAAAAAAATGTTCCGCAAATTTTAAGAAACCCCAGTAAGTACAAGTTAAAGTTTAAGTACAGTGGCGGCCTCATAGGAGGGTCGTCACAGAAGGCCTTGTAATCACTTTACTAAGAGAATAAGCTTCACATAAAACTTTATTAATTTGAAAGATTTATTGACCTTTTAATAAATGTCCATGTGAACTTTTTACGATCCTTCGCATCATTATTGAACCAGGATGACCTAAACGGTCATGCCATTTGAAGGATCTTCTTTAACTACCATGTGTGACTCTATCACATTTATATGTGTGTAATGTAATCCCGAAGAGAGTTTTAAAAGTTTTTCTAATATGTACTTCTTTTTTATACGTTAGTAGTTAAATACATATATTTCTTATTTCCTTCCGTTTCAAATCGCGTATCATATCCATGAAGATGTATGTTTTTGAAATTCAACAAATTTTTTTTAGACTTTGGTGAAAATAAAGCATTACTTTTATAAAACTTTTTTGTTTTTAGATTTGCATATGATTGTTTTTTAATAGTAACAACAAAGTATTTGTTTCTTTAAATCCATATGTTTTTGTAATATAATAGTGAATTATGTGTGTTTATCCGTTTCTGACAGCTTGTGTTGGGAAGCTCCATCCCAAATGCTTACAAGAAACACAAAAAGAAGCATCAGAGAGAAGACGCCTTGGTCTCTCTACCACTCCCAGCTAACCCAGATACAGAGATAGCAGCAATCGCGATTCAAAACTAACTGTTTTAACAGTCTGAGCTCTGCAATTACGAAGAAATGAAGCTTAGTTTTCAGACAATATGTACATCTTTTTTGGTTGGACAAATGTATATGGATTGGTCTTAGCATCCGGACAAGTTAACGGAAAAACGACCAATATTTTATGATTTGGTTTGACTTTGTCGTTTATAACATTTCTGTCGCTATTTCATTAAACTTTTGCTTCTTTGTTTCCTTCTATTGCCATTTGAACCCTTATCCGTGAAGAGGAATTGTTTGCAGCCACAGCCAGTGGGGACTTTAAGCCTCAGGTGATTATTGTTGCCACTGGGTAGGTAATGTACCTCAACACTTTACAGTTTACAAATTCAAATAAATAAATATTCCATTAAAAAATTACAAATAAATAAATAAAAGTTGTTCGTCTCATTTTTTTCTTCAGTAAGGAATTTGTGTTCTCTCTGCCACTGGGGCTGTTTCCCAGGCTGACATTTTCCAACCTGACACACTACTAGTTTCTTTCATACAAATGAGGTAGGATTATCATATTTTTATGTTCTTCTAACTGTGATCCAAACTACCTTACGAACTACGAAGAGCTATGTTTTAAAGCTGTATAAGATACTGTCATTTTTGCTTATATATATATATATATATATATATATATATATTCGTTTCGATATGATTTTGACTAAATTTAACTTTTAAAAACACGCACATCGTACCTATCATAGAAAAGTCATTTATAATATCTTGAAATGGCCTAACAACAAATACATTGCTGGATCTGGGGCCTGGGCTACTGTAATTTTTTTTTTTTTAAGTATTTTTCAGGATCTTCATTGCTACAATTACAAATACGGTATTCAATGGGATCAAACAAAAACATGCCTGCCAATTAGACTATTACTTAGGGGCTAATTTATTTTTCTTGAATTCTTATTTCCCCGAAGTTGCTAAGATATTACAGACATGTATCTCTACGGTGAAAAATGCTTGTTATTTCAAGTTAATATTCTTGGACAAGCCACTTGATACTGACAAGTTACACTCAAGTGAAACCATTGAGTAGTTATCTGTTGGAGTTCATTGCCTATTACTGTTTTTTTTTTTTTTTTCTAAATCACATAGAGATTTTATGCATCTTTTTTTATATAAAAATTAAAACTATAAATTTCTTCTCACAGGCCGCTTCGAGATATTGTTTTTATTCGGTTCATACGGTTTCGATTTTGTACCTTGGAGGGGTGCCTTGATCATCTCATTATCCGCGCCTGATGGGAGTCTCATTGGTGGCATTTCTGGTTCACTAATAGCTTCTAGTCCCATCCGGGTAAGGCCTCTTCTTCTTATGTCTGATATAATAGAATTATATTGACTATTAAGTTATTTCAGAAGCATTTTTCCAAGACTGTAGATTGATTGACTATAGTAGAATGTGTCATTCTTTGTGCATATTCAAAGTGTTGACTCCACTAAAGATGTCTTCTATTAATCTTGTGAAAATGTTTGAAAAAGTACCTGCAGTGCGTATTGAACACAAAATCCACCTCATTAAAGATACCCCATTTGCTCGTTTAGATGCTCAATAAATAATCTTTTGTTCTCAGATGTCTTCTAGAAAAAGCATTTTTTTTTAGAGTACCAAAGAAAATGAGTCACTTAACAAATTGGGTGCAAAAGAATAAATCGTTCTATGACTTTCAGAATCTCTTACATTGAATTATCTGTGTTTATCCATTTTTGACAGCTTGTGGTGCGAAGCTTCGAGCCAAATGAAAGCAACAAAGAGTACACACATTGGCCTCAGCAGTACCCCCCCGCTGCCACATATACGCTGACAGCAGCAACTCTGATTTCACAACCAAAACCCTGTCGTCCTTTAGACCTCGTTCATTTTACCGATTCGAGTTTAGTATTTGAGTTTTGTTAGTAAAAAAGTTCTCATATAAAAGTCACATCTCAACTCGAATCAAGGAACTAAACGGGTTCTTAGACTGGCTGGCATCCAACACCACCCGCCTTACTGCCACAAGCACAAGAAGAACCTGAAAAGAACACGACTGCTGAAAAGAACATAACTGTTTTAAAATTCTGTACACTGCGATACTACAAATTGATTTTTAGTTTTCGGATAATATGTGCACCTTTTTTTGTTGTACATAGTATGTGGATTGGTCTCTATGCTCTTTGTTAGCTTCCGGTGAAAATAACCGAAAACAACCAACGTTTTATAATTTGATTTGACCATGTCGTTTATAATATTGCTATCGCTATTTTCATTCATTTTTGTTTTCATTTGTTCCTTCGATTGTCATTTGTTGTACACGTCTTTTATTATTTTCTCGTCGTTTTTAAATTTTCCTATAATTTATTTTCTTGTGTTGCCGATTTCCTTAACCTGTAGTTTTATTAATCTTTTATTCCCTTTACTGTCGTTCTTAGCTTTCTTGTATATTGAAGTTGTTTCTTTATTTTGGTTTATTTTAACTTTCTAATATATATTCGATGTCGTTTTCCATTTAATGTCGTGTAACATTTGATGTCGTTTTCTTATTCCACTCTATTTATCCTTAGGCGATATTTTGTCGTTTACCGTTATTATGTTGCCGTTTTCTTCGACTTGTAGTTTCCCTCTTTCAGTTGACCTTTTTTCTGTCGCTGCTTCCATTAGCTGTCGTTTCCCCCTGCATTGTCGTTTATTTTTTGGTCAGATTTTTTTTTCCCTTTTTCTTTTTAGTTATGTTTCTGCTTTTCCCGTCATTGTTGTTTCAATCGACTTATCATTTACTTTCTTGCCTCATGACTAGTGGTTTATTCTGTCTTTCTTTAGCGATGAAAAATGGAAAAATCAGATGATCACAATATCTTAAAATTTTTTAATCAACAAAATCTAAAAAGGAATACATTGTGCCAAGCTTAGAACATGGTATAGTCGAACATTTAATTTTGTAGGGGTGTTTACTAATTAAATCTGTAAACACTAACAGCTGTTGAACGCAAACGAGTCATTAAAGATCCTTAGCCAAAAAAAAAAAAAAAACGGCTCATGAAAGAGAACTAAGACCTGATCATACAAAGCCACCAAGTAAATACACTCTTCAAATTAGTAGCACTACAACTAGCCAAAAAAGTATTATATAGCTCTCGGCACATACTCGAAATTAGAAAAATATATAAAAATTAAAAAAAGAAAAAGGAAAAAAAAAAGACTGCACAAAATTAACTAATGAGATATTTATATTTTCATACCATATGTTTTAAGTTTATTCGAAATCTATATTTAATTTTTAATCTCATCAAATGGATACCATTAAATTAGATTTAATATATAAATATATGCTTATATCGGTCAACAATTGATTTTAACCTTTAAAATGACTAAACTATTCTTAAGAAAAGGGAAAAAAACACTAAAACTTTCTAATATTATGATAATTAAAAATTAATAACACAAAAAAAAAACTATTTAAATGGTATTTTACATATTTTAGAGGTTAAAATTGTGAGTTTAAAATTTCTTTTTAAGTTTTTTCTTTTTTATATGTTTTTATTTAAGAGTATTTTAGATATTCTTAAGGTTAAAATCGAAAATTAATTGTGAAAATTTATAAATTTTAGTATTTAATTTAATCTGAAAGTATATATTTGATAAGATCAAAAACTGAAAAAGATAAATTTTAAATAAACACAAAACACAAAATATAAAAAAGTAAATATCCCTTAACTAATTAAGCAAGCATACTTCACAACTGCTTTTAGCTAACACCACGTGCATATACACATACACGTACACATACACACACATGCATGTGTATACGTATGTGTGTCCATATGTGTGTGTGTGTGTATATACATATATATATATATATATATATATATATATATATTATATGCGAACACGTGACATTCAGTACTACTGTTGATGATTTCGGAAAGTACTAGGAAGAGTTTCTGGTTGTCCGATTCATCTATTTGCAGCTAACAACTCAAGTGCTCTTATGAAAACGACGAACCACTTTCGAATAGAAATGCCAATCGGAATGTGCAGGCGTTATAGCAGACTGACCAAAAGGATGTTCTTTCACGAAAGAAGGAACGTCTTCAGCACCTGCCAGTTCATCCAAGTACACCCTCAGCTCACCCCTAGGCCCTGATCACGACCACAAACACGTTATAATCCAAAACGACAAATAGAGTTTTAACACAAACTACGACAAATCCTGATCGTCACTGATAAACTAAAACCTTAATATATATATATATATATATAGCACTTCACTAACCTAAGGCCATGTCTTCAACATTATCAACCTTGTATTCATCAGAAAATATAGCAGTGTGTGGCTGCACAAAATTTTTTGGAAGAAAAATAGTAATAGCTTACAAATAATATTTATTTAGCTCTCGCGTAAAACGACACATAAATGCATAAGGTCAAAATACTAGTATTTTAATTACATACAGGATTTAGTAGCGCTTTGTAAGGGTTATTGTCTACTAAGAGTGTGTTCGATGAAGAATATCGCCCTTCAATACAAATTGACCTGTCTTGCCACAAGTCCTTCAACTCCTTCAGAAACAACGGTTTGCGTTTATTCTCCAAGGTATTCCATCCGGAATTAGTACACTCGCGTTGGTCCTGAAATTTCCAAAATAAAAAAAATACATTATTCCGAAAAAAATAAAGATCAGTTTATAACTTTTTTTATATAATACTTATAAAGAAAATATATCATGAATAGTACTGATTTTGATAGATAATTTCTTTTCTACAACTTCATTAGTGTATAGTAATTACGGCAACCATTATGACTATTGTTAATTCAATAAATATTACTTGTGGTAATTATTGAAGTGATGATGATATAGAAAGAAGCAATTAAAATCCATACTTCTATAAAAATATATTTTTGTGCTATAACTAGACCCAACAATTAAAGAGAAAAATAATATCAATTAGTGCATCGTCATATACTCGGTCAAATAATAAATTTTCAAGTGTGGTACTACCGATTATTCCCAAAATGTACTTACCCAAGCAAACAACAGCTTGCTCTTTAATCCCTTCATTATACAATCGAGGGCATTGTTCAGGTACCATCTAATAATTGTCATGTTATATTCCAATAACCATGGCACATAAATATATAAAATATTCTCTACTCAAGAAGAAAAGTTTCAGAAAACAAGAACCATTTTGGTATCTTAGGCCCCGTTCATTTCACCGATTCGAGTTTTGTTACAGTAAAAAATTCTCAGAAACAGTCACATCTAACTTTTTTACTACAGTAAAAAGCCCTCACATAAAGTTACATCTTAACTCAAATTAAAAATTCAAATCAGCGAACTAAACAAACCCTATTTATCACTTTGTTACATTAGTATCATGGCGTTTTGGAAATCTCATTAGGAGACCTCATAATTATAAAACACATCATTCTGGATTTATGGTATACCTAGGACCTACTTTCGGGACCGAAAAAAATCAATATTTTTGCCCTTATAGTCTAAAATAAATTAAAAGGGAGAAAATAAAATTCCAGAAAGAAAAATTAACTCAAAATATTCTAGTCTTAAACTAGGATGTGAAAATCACTGAAAAAGAACAAAAACAATGAATAGAGAGAGAGAGTGAGTGAGACAGGGGCAACTCAGAAGGTAGAACTTCTTTTAGCATTTTATTTTATGTTGATATATATCACTCTCCAAAATTTAAATTATAAGGTACGTACTGTAATAAGATTATCAAAACACCAAGGTTCCAAAGTGGAAAACGACTAAGCCACAGGAATAATATTGACAAAAAAAAAGGGAAAAACGAAAATATTACAAGCAAGCAAAAAAGAAGAAATCTATATATACTTACTCCCTGGCAGAGGACCATATTCCCACATCAAATCTTTCCAGGCAAAACTTCATGAATTCTTCACAGTAAGGTCTCTTGTAAACTGCGCAAACGAAATAGAAAAAAATAATAATAATTAAGAAATTTACAAAAATAATTAAAAGTTTTTTAAGAAATAATTACTTGCTAATTACGAAAGAAACTTGTTACGTTGTATTTTTCTTACCTAAAATGCTTCCGTAGAACTCATCAGGGCTGCGAAATCTCGGAATGGCAGACTCATCGTAACGGTGGACTCTATGACAAAGCAATCCACCGAGACAGAGAACAACAAGTTTCTTTCTTGGACCAAGGTTTAGTCTCTCTAACGACAGGCCATAAATATAATCTTCTGATCCCTGATGATCATGTTCTTCGTCGTCGTTGCTGCTGCTGCTGCTACACACCAGTTTTCCTTTCACATCGCTATTCTGTGCTGCCATCTTTGCAAAAGAGAGGCTCCAAAAGCCGAGTTCTCTACGTGTGTGCATCAGTGCATGGAACAAACCATGTTTTTATAAATTAGATTTAGAAAAGGGCAAAAAAAAATAAAATAAAAGCAATAACAACCACAGAATGGTAAGCTTTTTGGCTCGTTGATATCTGTGTTATTTATAAAAATAAAAAATAAATAAAATAAATAAAAAAGAATAATAAGTTTAGAACTTAAATTTATAATGAATCACGATTAAAATAAATATATATATATATATACACACACACACACACACACACTCAAGAATGCATTTGTAAATTTGTTAAAGGTTCATATAAGTACCTATCAAGACAGTGTTGGCTTTGACGCTTGAGTTGGGGGTTTAAGAAATTACACTAATTAAAGATCAGTGATAGATACCTATGTGTGTATTTATATTGTATATAAGAGAAAAAGAGAGATCCACCACGTGGAAAACTAATAAGTGATGGACATAAGGGATATAATAAGAGCATGAGGTGTTACTTCGTGCTATCAAAACTGGAAAGCTAATTCATGCATGCATATTGACACGACCTGCTAAGTAAATACATTTTGTTTTATCTGTTTGAGTTTAGAACTAATTATGTTAAAAAAAATATTGTAGCATAAAAAGTTATATTTATTTTTATAAAAAACAAATGTAACAAAATAATTTAAATTGTTATTCGAACTGTGAAACAAAAATCTATTGTTAGGATGTCATCGAGTAGTAAATCTACAGCTAGGCTGTCATTTATGGCCACTGCTTTTGTCACGTCCCAAAACAGGAGTTAATAACATAGAGGTTCATTTAGAAGTTAAACATAATTAAAAAAGTAATTAAACATTTGAAAATATAATAATCAAAACCAAAAGTAAAATATAAAAGTAATTTCCAAACAAGCCCCACATTTGTACTGAAATTAAATTATAAGAAAGTGATGGGGACTTTCACACTTTCTGACAAGATAGGTTTAAAAACTAAGCATCTGGCATCATTCAGAGTTTCACCCACAGGATATACAATATTGTACATACATGAACATGTAAAGAACATTTATAGACATCAACCACAATCTAGATATTCAAAGTTTATAGTCTTAAAATTTACAATCCTTACATTTATACACAAGGATGATGGATAGTTGAACTCCTTCTCGAACTACACATGCAAGGGTTGTCAGAGATTGCCACTTACTCTGCACTGCTTCTAGCGTCGCCTAGAAGGGGTTTAATATTTATAGAAACAAAAATAAAACGTGAACAGAAAGCCCAGTATGATGTATTTTGAAATTAACTTTATAAACAAGTAAATAAATGAATAAGCAAATAAATAAAGATATTCAATTTCAACACAACAGCTGGAACCTAACATCCATTTTTCTAAAAGGAAGTATAAACTTAAAATTCCATATTACAGGCATTAGCAAGTAATTTATACTATGATAAATTACTTACACAACCACAAGCACAAGCCTTAACACCACCATAATGGCCCGGTCCGGGTTTTGGGTTCCACCCCCGAGGATACTCTCTGCATATCCTTTCTAGGCCATCAACAGGCTTACCAGTTCGCATGATATCTTATCTTAGAAAAATATTCATTAAAATTTTAAAACAGTTCATTATGCTTCTAATAGCTAAAATCAAGCTATTGTGTTAAAATATTTTTCTTTATCAAACATGTCATTTCTTTAAAACATTTATATAGGCCAAAAAACTCTTAAATCCGGCTAACAAAGAAAAAGGCATGAAATCCCACCTGTCAGTTATCAAACCTGTGGCTAGCCTCTCGTTACTTTAGCTTCCGCTTCCTTCAAAGCCTTAATATTCGATCTTCCTCACTAACTTTATCACAAAAGTAATGTCTTAGGATACATTTTTCATTCTTAAAACGAATTTAGCTTAATCCCATCTAATTGTTTCCTATTAGTGTACCTTGACTCAAATTTAAGTTTTACAAACGACTTTATAATTTAGTTTTGGGATTCTTTAAAAATTAAAATTCAATTCATTTGTTTGATTTCCCATCTAATTCCGACTTAAAAATAAGTTTTTGAAAAAATTTCAACAACATACTAAATAGAAAAAATGTCAAACCTGTAATTCAAAATCAATTTCACAATAAATTCTTCATAAATCATCAAAACTAATTTTCAATCAATTCAATAAGTCCAATAACTAAAAACTCACAAATTTAATTCAATTCTAATAACAATTGTTCAATTCTAAACAATAACTCAAAATTATTCAAATCTAACTAAAGTCTCAAATTCTCAAATCAATAACTCAATTTCAAATATGAGTTTTTAAGAAATTTTTACCTCAAAATGATTAAAGCTCGCTTCTCTTCATTTCTCTCTTCTTTTTTTTTTGTCTTTTTTTTTTTGAGTGTCTCAGCCGTACAGCCGAGAGAGAGGGAGAGAGAGAAAAATGGCGGGAGAGAGAGAGCCCGGAGAGAGAAGGCCGGCGGGAGAGAGAGCCCGGAGAGAAAGTGGCCGGCGTGGAAGAAAAAAAAAGAAGAGAGAAAGAGAGAGGTGTGCTGCCAGTGAGAATCAGAGGAGAGAGAGAGAGGAAAAAGAAAAAGAAAGAGAGGGTGAGAGAGTTCTGGGCAGCCACGGGGAAGGAGGGGAAGGAAAGGAAGGAAAAAGAAAAAAAAAAAGAAAAGAAAGAAAGGAAAAGGAAAAGAAAGAAAAAAAAATAGAAAAAAGTAAAGTAAAATACATTGATATTAAGTGTATTTTTAAAAAAATTTGAGGTGAAATCTTAAATATTAAAAATAATTGAAAGTTTTTTAATTAATTGAGAAAATTAAATTAAATTAAGCACATTAATAATTCATAATTTAATATAATTAAATATGTTTAATTCGAGAGAGCGTTACAGAAATTACAGTTTACAACTAAGTTTTCAAACATTTTTTTTAATTCTTAATTCAAATCATCCGGTTCAAATCGAGTCCAATGTTCAAATTGTAAGAATTTGAAGCCAACCAATTGTCGTCTTTGTTTTTTAACGGTTAAATGATTTTTTATATTAATTAATATGGTAATTTTTCAAACACCAAGTGATAAAAAGGAATAATAGCTCGCATGAAATAGATGTTTTCTTTTAGTAATTCTAAATTTATTATTGATGAAAATAATGAAATAGGTACTTATATAGTGATTAAAATATCGAGTTAGCGGTAATTCACATCTATTAAGTTTGATGTTTTTAAGTTTATATATGTAGCAAAAAACAAAACATATAGTGAAATATATATTGGGCGTTCAAAGATGTAGATGCCGTGGAGTAACACAAGTGTGACACTTGGATTCTTCTACATACTCACACGTACGTGGAAAATATATCGCAAGTTTAAGTTTAATCTATTTGCGTTTTATGTCGTTTTCACTTTATTGTCGACCCTATCCTTATTGTCGTTTACTGTGCCTATGTTTATATAAGTACTCTTATCTCTATACATACGTTCTGTATATTTTCGTCTTTTCTCTGCTTTGTTGCTGTTATGAATAAATTGATTCATTAGTCTGGATGTTCAATTCCCAACACTCCACGTGAATTCTATTATCTCCTCTTTATTATTATTGGTATTTAGCATTTCATAACCTCCTAATTAACACTCCATTAGTAGTATTTTATTATTGTATGACTTTTGGCCTCTCCTACTTTATAATTCTTTGCCTACATATATGACTTTTAAGAGATATGCATCGTTCATTTCACCGATTCGAATTTTCAGTTTTAAGTTTTTACAGTAAAAAGTACTCAGAAAATGTCACATCTATCTTTTTTTTGTTACAGTGAAAAGCTCTCAGAAAATATCACATCTCAACTCGAATTGAAAACTCGAATCCGTGAAGTGAACGAAACCATATATTTGTACACAACAAGAAGATGAATAATAAGAAAGTCATCTCTCTCTTGTGTTTATATATTTTATCTATGCCTCGCAATTTAGTTACTTTGTATTTGTTTTATAACACGTTATCAGAATGAGTCTTTAATATCATTGCTTTTGATTTTGATCGGCAAATTTTAAAAATTTCAAAGATTATCTTGTAGCGCTTCTAGCAATCTGGTGCGCGCATTGAATTTGTCCATTGATGGATAGAAAGGATGACGACGCATTATTTATATGACATAATTCTTTTACTTAGACGATTGTCTCTGTTTTTGTGATATTATTTCTACATATATATAAATGCTTTATATATATGATAATAGGTTTGTTCTATTTTTCCTAATTTCTTATACTTTCTAATCTCTATATTAAGAATCTGTGAAAATTCTATTGTGCATGCTGACCCGTTTATTTATATGCTCAAGATTATATTATTATGCATAATTAAGGTGTTTAATTCAAATTGCACAAGAGTCCATAAATTCATTATTTACACGTTACGTTTTAGTTCACAACAACATTCTTGTACTATATGCGAGTAGTTTTGCAATTTTAATTCAGGTACCCCATCCGTTAATATGTATAACTTTTAGTATATGTGTTATATATATTTCTCATGAATTTATGTATGCCTAACATAATAGAGCTCATACTCAGGCTAAAGCAAGTGCAATTGAATGATCTTAAGAATCCAACATTGTCATTTTTCTTTCGATGGCATTTGTGTCCATTTAATGTCGTTTTTATTTGATGTCATCTCGTTGTTTCATCATTATTATTATTCTTCTTTTTTTTTTTTATGGATCGTTGTTTCATTATTTAATCCAAAAAACAAGGAAAAACACATAATTAGGGCCCGTTCACTTTGTTGATTCGAGTTTATAATTCGAGTTGATATGTGATTTTGTGTGAGAGTCTTTTACTGTAGTAAAAAAGTTAGATGTGACTGTTTCTGATAGCGTTTTACTGTAACAAAACTTGAATTTTAAACTCGAATCGGCGAAATAAACGGGACCTCAATGATGACAACAACCAATTGAGGGGAAGAGATGGCAAAGATAGTTGCGCCTAAGGTCTATGGGTAAGGCTTTGTATGTATCGCTATATGTCAGTTTTGTATATAATTTTTCTTATGTAACTTTAATTAGATTTAATGTTTAAAAATAAACACTACTTAACTTTTTACTCTTATACCATATTAGTAGTTCTCTAAAAAACTCAAACTACTACGAGATGGGCCAATAAAAAATGTTATAGGCTAACATGTAAAAAGCTAGGAAGAAACTCTATAAACAAACTTCACATCATAAAGTGCGATAACATAGGCAAATGTTTTCATACAACTTCAAAAACAGTACAATACCAAGAACATAGAACACACTATTACATAATCAAGCTGTGGTCTTCTGAAACTTACGAACAACCTTAGAATAGTATTTCCATTGGGAATGGCTAGGCGTTATGGGAGGCTGACCAAATGGATGTTCCTTCACAAAAGAAGGGACATCCTTCGCAGCCACCAATTTTGCCAAGTACATCCTCAGCTCACCTTTAGGACCTACTTAAACAAAAAATACATGATATGTTATATGTTATAAACACGCAAAAAAAAAAAAAAAAAAAAAAAAAAGTGACTTTAATTTTAAAGGCTCATTTAGTTCGCTGATTCAGTTTTTAATTTAAATTGAAGTGTAATTTTTTATGAGAATTTTTTATTATAATAAAAAGAAAAAGGAGAAGAGAAGTGACTTCAATTTTAAGTAAACAATTATCCCACTCACCAAAAGCGTCATCTTTAGTGTCATCAATATTGTATTGACTAGGAAAGATTCCGTTATGGACCTGTAGAAATTTGCAAACACAAAGGTAAAACGGTAAAAGATGTTGGTTTAAAGCTGTTTAGTTTGTAAATTTAAATTAAAATGTGATTTTATATAAAAAAAAAATTTATTAAAATAAAAAAAATTAAATATAATTATTTTTAAAAAATTTGCAAACACAAAGGTAAAACGGTAAAAGATGTTGGTTTAAAGCTGTTTAGTTTGTAAATTTAAATTAAAATGTGATTTTATATAAAAAAAAATTTTTATTAAAATAAAAAAAATTAAATATAATTATTTTAAAAAAAATTTATCATAATAAAATTTAAATGAGGCTTTAATTCATTCACCATAAAACTAGTCACCATAAAACTAGACAATATTTCAAGGTGGGTAAAAAGGTCGTACAGGATTTAACAGCGCCTTGTACGGCTTGTCGTCTATTAATAGTGTGTTCAATTGACTGAATTGCCCTTTACACCGAGGAAGTGCAGCATTATTGTTTTGCCATATTTTCTTCAACTCCTTTAGAAACAGAGGCTTGTCTTTCTTCTCCAAGGAGCCGAAACCGGTATCAGTACATTTCTCTTGCCCCTATAATTTATTTTTTTAGCAGAAAATTAATAGAATATAAGCAAAATGATCCCATTAACTACAGTACTAGAATACAAAAAAGTATGCTTCTGGTATGACTCTGTTTTAAACTATTAAATCTATGTTAAGCTTTTTTTCGATCATTTCATACATATCTAACATTCAAAAACGAACACGATCAATAATTTACGTACCTTAAAAAAGACACTAAATAATAACATAATCATACTTACCCAAGCAAACAACAATTTGCTCTTCAATCCTTTCATTATGCATTCTAGAGTACTATCCAAGTTATACCTGCTTTGTAAGTAACGTTAAAAAAGAATAATGAAATGTTATGAGCACAACCATCATGTAAATTATTATTTTCTTTAATGGAAACCAATATTAAGAGCTAAATCGATCTACTGACTCCTTGGCCGATGACCATATTCCAATTTCAAATCTTTCCAAGCAAAACTTGATGAATTCTTTACAGTGAGGCCTTATGTAAACTGTCAAGAAGAAAGAGACTTAAATCAAAAGAAACAATACAAAAGAAAAGAATAGATATTCATATATGTGTGTGATATATGTATATAAATACACACACACACACACACACACATATATATATATATATATTTCGATATATATTACCTAAATTGTTTCCATAAGCTGCATCAGGACGACGAAAAGTTGGAATCTTGGGCTGGTCATAACGGAAAACTCTATGACAGAGAAATCCACCAAAGCCGAGAACAAGAAGTTTCTTTTTTGGACCAAGGTTTAGTTTCTCTAGAGAGAAGCCTAAATCTTTTAAACTAATACTATCTTTTTCCTCGTCGCTGTTGTTCTCACACTTGAGTTTGCCTTTCAAGCTGATAGTTTCTCGTGACATATTTCTAGAGTTCTAGTGTGTTGTCGGTTAATAACCTCCTCATCAAGTTGGTTTATATAGATGTTTTTTTTTTTTTTTTTTTTTTTTTTTTTTTTTTTTTTTTCCCTACCAAATTATTGTCTCATGCATGCACGGTTAACATATAGACAGCGTAGGAATATTGTCATTTTTTGTTGATAAGTGTTTATTTATGTTAAGAGATTTATTTTTTTATGTCAGGGTTTGAGAGATAAAAAATATATAGTGATACATTTCTCATGTAATTTTTTCTTCGTCAGATAAAATTATTTAGCAAAATATTCGCATATATATATATATATATATATATGTGTGTGTGTGTATCTCGCTTTAATTGTGGATCAACTATTAATTTATGTATACTTATGAAATTTTAATTGGAACATGATAAGGTTCGTTCCAAAGCTTCTTTTAGGCCAATGGAAATCATAGGCCAGTGGAAACACGTTACTTGCTGGAGAAGGAGAACATGAAAATCATAGGCCAATGGAAACGCATTGCTTGCTGGAGAAGTGGTGTAAGTGGTGGGACGACATGATGTTGAGAACTAGTGAAAATGACAAGAGCCGACTCGTCAGTCAATTTTGTCGGGAAGTTCCTTTTTGAGGTCTTCTTTTTATATTTTATATTAAAAATTATCTCCTCTGCGTGCTTCTTAGGCATGGTTTTGAATCTCACAGGCACCACTTACCATTTCATTCCAGCGGATAAATGGCAGCCGTTTGATCAAAATGGACGGTCACAATTTAATTGAATGGGCAAAAAAGAAAAAAAAGAAAAGGAAAGCGTATAATATAGGCATAGTACACAGCATGTTCCTATTTTGATGCCAGGAGGTAAAGGGCTCACATGTTGTCAGGGATGAAGTTGAGAAATAGTGTAGCAAAAGCATTGCGCCAGTGTGTTTAGTATATTATACAAGTCTTGAAGGGTATAGATGTAAATCTCATTGATTAAAGGGAAAATTTTATTTTAATACTCTATGTCATATTCTTGTAGGAAAAATTTTATGCGGGTATCTTGACGTTTAAAAAAAAAAAAATTTTAAATCTTGGGGCATTTTTTTAAGGCACAAAAGTCATTTATACTCTTATATTTGATTTGCCCAAAATTTTTTATAAATTTATAAAAATATATTTTTAAAATAAAATTAAAAACTCAAAATTCTATTCCTTTTCCTCCTATTTTTTTCATTTTATGCTTTTAAATTATTTTTATATTTATAAATAAAATTCTAGACAAATCAAGTAAAAGGGTATAAATGACTTTTTATTTCTAAAAAAGAAGTCTCAAGATACTAAAAAAAATTTAAAAATGTTGAGGTACTCATATAAAATTATTAAAAATACTAAATACTAAACTCATATTTTAATAAAATTGCATACATAATTAGACAGAAAGTTTGGACAAGGATCCGGAGAACGGTGATTATTTTTCTGTCGTTATGTTTTCAGTGAGTTTTTTAATTAATAAAGTTGCATATTTTATTAACTTTTAGTCGTGTTGCCTATCGACTCCCATCTAAATTTTTTCTGACGCCTACAAGATAAAAAGGTAACAACTCTTATAGGCTACCCTCATGTCAATCGTAGCCCTTTATTTTCAATGAAAGGGTGCACATCACTCCGGCAAAATGCACATGCCTACCAAAGACATTTCCTACTTTTTTTAATATATTATAATTTTGATTAGATATAACGTTAAAGACCGATGCTCCTAATAAGGTGGCGAAACTCTTTTCTTATTATTGATTATAGAGGTGTCAAACGTTACGGCACGTCCAACAACAGGCCCGCCATGGGTCTAGGCCGTGGCACGGCCCTGAACAATTCAGGGTCAGGTTTGAAGGAAGACTTTCAGGTCTGACACTGACCTAGGTCCTCGTCCATAAGGGTCAGGGTTGGGCCCGGGCCTAGGCCCTTCACGGGTCGGCCCTAGCCCTTTTAATTTTTTTTGTAATATTTAATTAAAAAAATATATATCATATGCCCCTAAAAGATGTGATTTTATTGAATTGAAATAATACTGAATAAGTACACATAAATGACTAGCTCGTTAAAAATCTTGCCAAGTAAAACCCGTGGGGAGATCGAGACAAAACCTTAGCGAAGGAAAAAAGAGTGCAGTATTCTAGGATAAGTAAATTACACTGTTGAATAATTGCTTCTAGAAGATTCTGTTATGTCTAAGTTCGACAAATATTCTTGAATTGAATCATCTGTATAGTGTTGTTTTCATCTTTTGGCATCTTCCTAGTCTTTAATACACATTAGCCTCTCCAAGATATCCAGATACATTATGCTCCTCTTCTCGTCAAGAATTCGGATGCTTGCACTAAATGTTTGCTCCAATGCTATCGTTGACACTGGAGTTGTTAGAATGTCACGTGCTATTATGGACAGTGTTGGAGAATGATTGTCTTGCTCCTCCACCACTGTAAGATGTCCAGTTTATCGTCATCAATTACAAAATTTGATTCCAAATATTTAACTAGTTCTGAAGACGTTTGTGTTGATGCGATCTTGACGCTTTCTCCTTCTTCTTCAAGAAGCTCCACGATGAACCTTTAGGCCCCGAACTGCTTCTTGACGTCAAAGTTCCCTGCTCTTTTTGTCTTGTTCCGTATTTTGTTTCAACAAAGCAAATAATATTTCTAACATTTTCCTAGCTTCGGCAATAGTTAGTCCCATATTAATATCTAAATTTTCTGATGTAGTAGACATCAAAGATTCGATCCTATCTAATCCACATCTAGGATCTAAAATGGCTACTAATGTGTATAACATATGACAACCGGCCCAATAACTTTTAAATTTAGCTTCCATTAGCTTAACTATGGTTCTAAAAAGTTCAATATCCCTATAATACGAAAATATTTTCAAAATATTAAATAGTTGATGCAAAGATAAATACGCAGTTGGATAATAAACTCCAGAAAGTAATTCAGTGGCGTTGTGCATCGTATGTAAAATTTTACAACCCTTGTGATGTGAGTGATAGTGTTTGTTAGCAGGAGTCCACACTCCCACCTTGGTGCAACGGTAGCACATGCTTTCCAATGTCCATTCAGATGGCCAGTATCCGCACAATTTTTATTAGAAAAGTGTTTTTTATAATATTTGCATACCGCACAAATTTCTATTTCACCTGTTTTTTGGATTTAGTCGAGGCTCCTCTGTGAAATGTTGCCATGCGGGAGCAGTACACGATCTTTTTCCCCTGTCACGTTCTCCAACTTCTTCGTTGTGCACCGAATCATTATCAACCGAAATAGTTTCTGGTTTAGTAGGGTTGTAGTTGTGAGCCAACATTTCATCCTCATAAAAATGGTTCATCACCAAGCTCAGGGAGCACGGGAAAATCAGGAAAATTTGATGCGGCCATTTTCTGAAAAAAAAAAAAAAAAAAAAAAAAAAAAAAAAAAAAAAAAAAAAAAGCAGAAACTAATGTTAATTCATTCATTTATAAACAATAAAGAATATAAATTAATTTGAGTCATATAATGTTATGTAACAAAATTGATGAGTAGAATACCTTTTTTCTCCAGGATTTCTTCAAATTGATTGAACTTTGTAAATGAAAGAGCAAGAAAATGAGGAATCAAGAGGGAAAAGCTTAGAATCAATATCAAAGAGACAAGATGAGAGACATAATGGGAGTGTGATGAGAAGTTGAGAGTGAATTGTTGTGATGAATATTGTGTGGGATTTAGGGGTATTTATAGGGGTTTTTTTTAGCAATTCCTGTACGTGACCGTTGGGCCCATTACGTGCCCAACGGCCGGCCCATGACGGGCCTAATGGCAAGCTCGTCACAAGATGACCATTGGACACGCGATGGGCCCAACAGTCACTTTGAGGCATGCCTGGCGGGCCGATTCACAGGCTGAACACAAGCCTGGGTCGGGCCGAATCAGGGCTTAGGTTGAATCATGTTCTTCAAGAGCTAGGGCCTGGGCCGCGGGCTGAGAAGCCGAGGTCCAACTCTAGCCCGTATAACGTGCCGGGCCGGCACGACCCGTAACAGTACCGTCCCGGGCTGTGCCAAACCTGACACTGTTACGGGCTGGGCAGGGTCATGCATAGACAGCTCGGCCCATTTGATAACTCTAAATGATTAGAAAATTTTAAAGTCATTTTAAGGTATTATGCTTTTTAAAAAATGTAGTCTCAAATACTTATTAAGAAGTCACTTCTTTTATTAATTTTCTTCTACTAACAAAAAGAAAAAGAAAAAAATTTATAAAACAGACCCTGCATCGATCTTTTTGATTTTTTAGGATTATTCTCATCAATAACCCTTTAATTTTAAAAACATTCTCATTTTACCCTTTAAATTTTAAAAATGTGTACTTTGCCCCATTAACTTAAAATTAGCACTACTTAACTCATTATGTTAAAATTTTTCATCAACAACAAAAACAAAAAAGACCACATGTCCTTTTTGGTCTAAAGCTTAGATAGAATGGGGTGTTTTTATGGGATATGTATTATTAAAAAAACATACAACACGCTATCCATATGAATTTGGCAAGTTCAAACCTAGTTAGTCCAATCTCTCAAAAATTACAATAATGCTAATATAAAAATAAATAGGGCTTATTATACTGACACACCTTCTATTTTATCAATATTATAGTCACATTCTCTTAATTAAAACTAATCACGTCAACCTCCCATAACTTTTGAAAAAAAATCACACAGACACTCTCTCCGTTAGTTGACCGTGAATTGGCCGTCTAAGTTGACTATTAATTTATTTTAAAATGCCAAAAACGTCCCCGCAGTATCAGAAAACGTTTTCTAAGCTATATATAATGCTCAAAATATCGGTCTTATCCTTGTTTAACAAGGAAAAACACGTTTAATTGTTTTTTACACTCTTATGAAACTAACCTTAACGAAGGCTTTATTTATCCCATTTCTTGTGTTTATTTCGGTCTGGATTTTTTTTTTCCAGAACAAAAACATTTTAACAAACGCCTAAACATGAACCAAAAAAAAAAAAAAAAAACAGAGCACACACAACTGAACTACCACTACACCACAAACAGCTAAATATCAACAACCATAGAAGAAAAATAGAGAGAAAAAAAAAACCGTGTAGTCTCATTAATTCATGTATTTTGATAATTGGATGAAATAGAGTTATTTAGTATATTTTTAGGCTTAGTAGTTATTTATTTTCTCAAGTAAAATGTCTTAGTGTTAGTATTTTGTATGACATTTGTTAGTTTTTGTTTAGTTGATAGAAGGTTGATATTTGTGGAGTAATCTCGTTATAACATGGATTTAGTCCTCATGTTCAATACAAGTGTGTTGACTTTGGGTAATTAGTGCAGGAAAACAACAGGGCAGTGTTGGTAAAAGTAATTTGAAAGAAAAGCACGGTAAAGGAAGTGAAGGCAGGAACGAACCCGTTGCTGCAGCAAAGCTATAGCAACGCAGATGCAACCAAAAGGTGCAAGCTGGTGCAGTTTGTTTTCATGTACAGCTGGCAGTGGTCCAAATTGCCGACTCTGACATGAGGGGACAGCTGTAAGAGCACTAAAGCGGGGACCATCAGTTTTGGCGCTGAGGCAGACACATGTAATTAGGGTACCTCATCCTGCCCTAGTATAAAAGGAAAAAGAAGAGTACTGGACAGGGTAGCCAGAGACAGGGAGGGAGGCGCACAGAATTCTTGGTACGAGCTGAAAAGAGAGAAAAGAAGAGAGTACAAGTGAAATTGTGGGCACGTTTCTGGAGCTAGAAAGGGATAGTACAGCACGGATACACACCTGTTTTGGCCTCAGATTTTAGCTTAGCCATTTTCTTCCTCTTTCTGTATTTACTCTTTGTGAACGAATGGAGTTGTTTATTGTTATTATTTCCGATTTTGTTGAACTAAACATGAGCTAAATTCTTTAGCTAGGATTATTGATGGAACCAAAGTTGCAATGAAGATTTATTTGTTATTCTAATTGCTTGCGTAATCTTCATCCTGTTTATTCAAGTATAATATTGTCTAATTTTTGTTAAGTGACAAGCCATCATTTAATGAAAAATATAAACTTAACTAATTATGGAAATGTTAGTTTAGTTAGATCTAGCTTAGATTATATAAGGGAATAGTATAGGAATATATTATTGTCTTATACAACTTATTAAAATTGGTGCTTAACTTCAAGTTTGGTAAACTAAAGTGCATAGGAATATGTTGGTTTTGGTTTAAGGAACTATAAGCATAGATCGGTCGGAAGATGATTATGCAAAATTTTAAGTTGACTGGATGAACTTTGCTAAAGCAATCCTATAACAAAACGTGGTCAGAGTTGAAACTGAGGGGAAATCAGTAATCCTAGCCCTTACCCATAATTGATTCACAGCTTAGAGCTTAGATCCTATCGAGTTTTACCACTTATTTGCATTTCAATCACATCCGTTTATTTTACTTAATCAATATCAATTTGGCATTCGAATCATTCTCGATCACCCTAGCACAACTAATTTTTGTAATCAATTCTTTATTAACTCAGTTCTTGTGGAGACGATACTTTTACTCATTACTGTAGTACTTGTGCGATTGCGTGCACTTGCGTAGAGCTATTTTCATACATAGGATTTTATCGCAACATATTTCCAACGAGTTTTTCCATCATCTGCATGTTTAAAGCTTTGAAAATGGCCATGTAAAATGCCTACAACCCAGAAGTTCGGGAATTACTTCCTCTAAAAACTTCAAGCTATTACATTTTGGTTACTTTCAACCACAGAAAAGACAAACCAACAAAAAAAAAAAGAAAAAACAACAACAACAAAAAAGAAGATGAAGGTGTTCTTCAATCTCATCTCAAGCTTAGAATTATTCGTTCAAATCCATTAAAAAGAAGAACAACAACAAAATACAAAAAAACAACAACCAGCCTTAGTTGTGGAGCTCCTGCAATTTTTTCCATCTTCTTCCCTCAAATTTCCCTTCCGGCCGGTCTAAATCCTCCCCAAAGCCAAGCCCCAATTTTCTGGGTGAGATGAAGGTGCCTTTACAGTTTCTGATATGTGACGTATGAGAAATGAATGAGAACTCATCATTTTACTGTGGAGGTCGAGGAATGGCGTCGCAGGGGCTGGGCTGCTGTCAGCGCGGCTGGCGTCGGCGATGGTTGGGTCACACGGGCGGGAGGGGTCGTGGGAGGGTACGTTTTTATTTTTCCTCAAATAAAAGAAGATTGAATGGACGGTTGAGATTTGGCTTTTATTGATCAATGGCTGATATTAAAAGGGGTAGTTTTGACATTTTGTAAACAAATTTAACAGAGTTTAGTGAGGGTTAGTTTCAATCAATGGGGTGTAATTATAATATTAATAACATACCGGGGGTGTTACTGTAATAAGCTTAAATAAAATCCAAAAATATACAAGTTTAAATATGTAGGTCATAAATAGAAATGAATGTATATTAGGCGTAGTTCATTTTATCGATTCGATATTTTTAATTTAAATTTTATCACAGTTAAAAATTCTCATAAAAAGTCACATTTAATTTTTTCTGTTACAATAAAAAATTCTCATATAAAATTATATCTCAACTCAAATTAAAAATTCGAATTAACGAAACCTTAAACATTTAAGTTGAGTGGGATAACCCAAACTTAAGATCAGGTTAATTTGATAGATAAATCACGTCATGATGAGTTTTCTGATCACCCCACAGTTCCATCAAATATTAAGAGCTAGTTTCACAATGTTTATTTAAACAAGCTAAGACCAAATATATTTTTCTTTTAAAAAGAATAAGAAGAAAAATCACTAAATCAGGCCTAAGCGTAGGATATTTTTGCATCATATTCATAGTTCCCTTTCTCAGCTTTTATCTACTTTCATTTTGTTTCTGTTATCGTTCTTCCTTGTTTTAACTTTTTTTTCGTTTTCTTTTTTTATGGATAAATGAGCTTTTTTTTTCCTTTGTTGTTATTTTATTGTGTTATCCTTCCGTTTTCGTCGGTCGTTTTCCATCTCTTATCGCCGTCTTTTTCTTTTTTTTTCCTTTTTATGTCTTTATTCATTCCACAATTTCTCGTAGTTTCTAAATTTTGTTATCGTTTCTATACAATATTTCTTTTTAGCATTTTATCTTTGTTTTTATATGTTGTCGTTTTTATGTGCCTGTCAACTTTCAGATCGTTCTCATTTTCGAGATATTGTCGGTATTTATTCATTTTATTGTTGACGTTCGATGTGTTTATTCATTATACTGTTGGCATTCGACGTATTGTCGTCTTCTCAAACTCTTTTCGTGTTTCATTCATTCATAAAAAATAAATAATAACAATAATAAAAAACTGGTCTGCGGTTTGAAAGTTTACACTAACATTGGAGATTGGGTGTGGAAAATAATAATAATAATAATAATAATAATAGAAGTTATTGCAAAGTTTCACCGTCGTACCAATTTCTCGTATTTTATTTATTTATTTTTGGATTTTTCATTCATTGTCGTTTATTGGTTTTTAGGTTTCTTGTCGTTTCATCATTTTTGTTCCGTTTTACTTGTTGTCGACATGTCGTTTATTCCTTTAATTGTTATTTTATGTCGCTCTCATTAAACATTTATTAACGCCTTCAGTTCTTTTCTTTTTTTCTTGTCTTACATCGTTTATTACTAGTTCTTAAAAAGTTTTGGCAGTCGCTCCAATTTCTTGTCTCTGTTTTTTCAATAGAATTTTCTTATCGTTGTAGCTTCTAGCCTTTTTTTTTTTTTTATTATCTTGCCGGTTCTAGTTTAAAATGCATTGTTTATTGTATTTGTTGTCGTTTTAACATTGCTGTCGTTTCTCTCATTGACGTCACATACTCACATTTTGGTCCTCCTTTTTTCTTATTGTTCAAATTTTATGTCGTTAATTACTACTAGCTGTCGTCTATTATCACTAAATGTCGTTTTAACTCAATTATTAATAGTTGTCGTTTATCATATTCATCGTCGTTTTTCCAGAGAGAGAGAGAGAGAGAGCGCGCGCAAAAGTGCGAGAAGCCTCTAGCAACTCCCGTTTCCATATCGAAAGAAAAAAAAAATCCCGTTTCCACATCATTCCAGAAACCGCTGAAATGACACATTGGCATCTTTATATTACTCTGTATCTATATAAACCCCTCCACGTATCTCTCCCCCTCCGCAGATACTATCATAAAATCCACTACTATTACTAGTAGTAATACTCAACAAGTTCATTGAAAACCATTTTTTCCTTATAACCTCCAAAATTACAAAAACGACAACAATGAAGCCCATCGACGACAAGAAGGACACGGTGGTGATCCGGGCGGTGAGCCGCGACGAGGAAGGCCGGAAGAGAGTCGAGAAGACGGGGCTCAAAACCCACGACGTGGACACCATAAAGTACGTCGAGAAGAAGCTCATCGACAAGGGCGTGCAGCGCCTGGACCGCCACCCGGCCGACGGGATCGGCGGCATCGGGAAGCCGCCGCCGAAGTCCGGACACGGCGGGAAGTACACGTGGGAAGGCCCAGGCGAGGTGGCGGAGAACTTGCTGGCGCCGGCGCCGGCGGCGATCGACGAGAGGGACCCTAACTATGTGGATGAGGACGCAGAGGAAAGGATCGTAAGGGGAGAGGACAAGGACGTGGGGGAGTTGGTCGTCGGAGAAGTCGAGGTGGCGAAGGCAGCGGAGGGGAGAGAAGGTGTTGCGAGGGTTGAGGTTGATCCTCATCTTAAGGTTGTGTAGTTGATGTCGTTTTAAGTTTTTTTCTTTTCTTTTTTTTTTTTTGGGGGGGGGAAAGTGCAAATAAAGTGCTAAGTTGAAAGAAAATGTTGTCAAAAGAAGGGTGTAATTCAGTATGTTTGTTGATATTGTGGGTTTGAATGTGGTTAATCTAGTTTTTTTAATTAACGTGAAAATGGAGCGTTTTAACTAATTTGTGGAAAAGCCTAATTAAAGGAGTAAGTTTCAATGCTTGGCAAAGCTCATGTTGTTTTTATTTGTTTTTTGCAGTACTGCAAATAAAAGGTAGAAGAAAGTCGTGAAGAAGGGTGTAATTGTTTTATTTTTTATTTTTTATTTTTTATGTGTGAGCTTCAATGTGGTTATTAGAGATTAAAGATTAAAGATAACTGAGAAACAAATACTTTGAAAACTGTTAGATGGTGGATTTTAATCAACAAGGAGTACTGCCATGAGAACATTCGCACTAATCTCTCACCTATTAATTAGGAATTAATGGTGCTGAATGAGTAAATAAAATAAAAGTTTATAGTGATTCGGCTAAAATTCTTTACCTACATCTATTTGTGCATGCACTAATATGTTGTAGATTACAAGCTCTATAGAAGTCTCTAAGTGAGAGCGTAAAAAACTTAATGAACTTTTATGGCTCTATTTATAGGCCTTATACATGTGAGAAACTCTATGCATTTTTTGAGGAGATCATCCTCTATCCCTTAATTTGGAGATTTGGCAGCTAGATTTCTCTGATTATGGCTTCCCGGTCAGGTTAATCACTCTTTACCCAATGCCTGATTTCTTGACCTCAATAGTGGTGGTAGGTGATACAGTGTATCTTTTCTAGGACTGACAGCGGATTTGACCGGGCTGATATCTCGACGTCGGGGCCTCACCACATGGGTTGGCCCTCAACGCGCTTCAGCGCATGCGACTTTTTGACGTCTAAAAGGCACTCTGAACACACTGGTTTCCTCAGCGTCAGCAACCGGTTCTTAACGGGGAGTCCTCAGCGCTTGTCACCCAGAGGAAAGGATGATCCATAGGATGATCCATCGACCGTGGTGTAACAAAAACGGGACAATTTTATTCTGTTCCTCTTAGCAGGGGACGTATTAAAACGGTACTTCTTTGCGATTGTATTGATCTATCTTTAGGTCTGTTTTGAACTCATAAGATTAGTACATGTGGGAAATACAATCACCCCAATGACCAGATTGTCATCAAAATTCATATAGTAATTGAGGCCTTGTCTACCCTGTGGGCTTCCCTTTTTACTTTCTGATCTTCCCTTTTTCTCCGCTCCAAGTTTGAACGAAGAAGCACCAAAATGGCAAATTCACAATAGGATTGGGCCATACTATTTTCTAGGCCCAACCTTGAACCAGCGAACCAAAGAAATAGGAGACAGTCATGTCTTGCAAATGATAAGGGCCAACAAAAGAAAATGAGAAAATTAGGGAAGGCCCACTTCTTCAATTTGATTTTTCATCTCTCTTAAGTTATGCACACCTTAAATCAATATCAATATATCAACATATAAAAAGAGAGTGTGGGTAAATATTATGGTTTTCTAAGAAACAGTATTGATCTTCGTGCTTCCTCACTAGAATAAGTAACATTTTTCTAGATTTACCAAAAAAAAGTCGTGTTTACATAGCACAAGAGAAACTTGATCAACTCTGTTATCCCAAGTCTCGTACTTCATTAGCAATCTTGACAGAAAATTGTTCAGTATGATTAGTAGATTTGAGTAAATGAGATAAAAGTTTATAGTGATTCGGTTAAAATTTTTTACATACATCTATTTGTGCATGCACTAATATGTTGTAAATTACAAGCTCTATAGAAGTCTCTAAGTGAGAGCGTAAAAAACTTAATGAACTTTTATGGCTCTATTTATAGGCCTTATACATGTGAGAAACTCTATGCATTTTCTGAGGAGATCATCCTCTATCCCTTAATTTGGAGATTTGGCAGCTGGATTTCTCTGATTATGGCTTCCCGGTCAGGTTAATCACTCTTTACCCAATGCCTGATTTCTTGACCTCAATAGTGGTGGTAGGTGATACAGTGTATCTTTTCTAGGACTGACAGCGGATTTGACCGGGCTGATATCTCGACGTCGGGGCCTCACCACATGGGTTGGCCCTCAACGCGCTTCAGCGCATGCGACTTTTTGACGTCTAAAAGGCACTCTGAACACACTGGTTTCCTCAGCGTCAGCAACCGGTTCTTAACGGGGAGTCCTCAGCGCTTGTCACCCAGAGGAAAGGATGATCCATAGGATGATCCATCGCAGCAGATTTGACCGGGCTGATGTCTCGACGTCGGGGCCTCACCACATGGGTTGGGCCCTCAACGCGCTTCAGCGCATGCGACTTTTTGACGTCTAAAAGGCACTCTGAACACACTGGTTTTCTCAGCGTCAGCAACCGATTCTCAACGGGGAGTCCTCAGCGCTTGTCACCCAGAGGAAAGGATGATCCATCGACCGTGGTGTAACAAAAACGGGACAATTTTATTCTGTTCCTCTTAGCAGGGGACGTATTAAAACGGTACTTCTTTGCGATTGTATTGATCTATCTTTAGGTCTGTTTTGAACTCATAAGATTAGTACATGTGGGAAATACAATCACCCCAATGACCAGATTGTCATCAAAATTCATATAGTAATTGAGGCCTTGTCTACCCTGTGGGCTTCCCTTTTTACTTTCTGATCTTCCCTTTTTCTCCGCTCCAAGTTTGAACGAAGAAGCACCAAAATGGCAAATTCACAATAGGATTGGGCCATACTATTTTCTAGGCCCAACCTTGAACCAGCGAACCAAAGAAATAGGAGACAGTCATGTCTTGCAAATGATAAGGGCCAACAAAAGAAAATGAGAAAATTAGGGAAGGCCCACTTCTTCAATTTGATTTTTCATCTCTCTTAAGTTATGCACACCTTAAATCAATATCAATATATCAACATATAAAAAGAGAGTGTGGGTAAATATTATGGTTTTCTAAGAAACAGTATTGATCTTCGTGCTTCCTCACTAGAATAAGTAACATTTTTCTAGATTTACCCAAGAAAGTCGTGTTTACATAGCGCAAGAGAAACTTGATCAACTCTGTTATCCCAAGTCTCGTACTTCATTAGCAATCTTGACAGAAAATTGTTCAGTATGATTAGTAGATTTTGGTAAAGAAAAGGTACGGAGAGGAAGATCAGTAGGTATATTTTACTCCTCTAGAGTGACCAAATAAGCCTCTACATATTAAGGCCACGTTCATTTCACCGATTCGAGTTTTGTTACAGTAAAAAGCTCTCAGAAACAGTCACATCTAACTTTTTTACTACAATAAAAAACTCTCACATAAAGTCTGTAACTCGAATTAAAAACTCAAATCAGCGAACTAAATGGGCCTTAAATGATGTCCGCATTAAGTCATAGTTACTTGTGGGTTAGTCGTAGATATACTTACTCCTACAGAAATGATCAAATGTGCCTTGGAGACAAAGCGTATCACTTCTCCCCATCAAGTGTTTATAAAGTTCAAAAATAACCTCAAACTATTTCTCATGAGACTTCTCATGTATAAAATAACTTGAGACTTGAGAGTAAGCCAATACCAGGCTACTAGCTTGGAACTACTACTATATATATATATATATATATATATATATATATATATATCAAGATGGAGTA